TTGACCAGTGTCAGATGTTGCCGGCTTTTCTAATATGTACGACAGTCGGACGCAGGATTAAAAACTGAGTAAGTGTTTGGTCTGAGAACAAAATTTTCCAAACGAATGACCTCAACAACGAATAATCTACCTACCTCTTCCAAAAAAATAAATGTTGGTAACCGAGATATTGACAATAACCCATCATCATTAGCTGTTAATAGTGATATGACAAATGTTAATAGAAAAGCTTCTACATCATCCTCCGGTCATTTACTAACAACATCTACTCCTAATTTTATATCAACAAATAAATTTTTAAAAAATACAACCTTCCTCGTTCAAAAAAATAAGTAATAATTCAGATATCGTGAGATGCGGTCTGGTGTGATGTAGGTTTCAGAAAAACATTTTCTTTATCGTGCCAACGTTTCGATCTTTTATTGAGATCATCTTCAGGGCTCAAAGTGTTTGTCTTCTGTGTAATTGTGCCATCCCCAAAATAAGTAGCTTCATCTTATTTTACAAAAATAACAAAGAGGTTCTTGGGGAAAATAACAAATGACTGTATCATTGTTATAGTGAAACGTTTTGACGATTTACGTGTTTCAAGCTCAAAGGTGTGACATAAGCATCTGGCAGAATAGATCTAAATGTCACACATTTGAGCTTGAAATACGTAAATCGTCAGAACTTTTCACTAGAACAATGGTACAATCAGTTCTTATCTCTGACTCTGGATGTCTGGAATAATTTTCCTTAAGAACTTCTTTGATCAATCGAGGAAGGTTGTCTTTTTAAAATTATTTAGCTAGAAAAATAAATAGAAGAACTAGGTCTCAAAGTGTGAAAGGTTACCAAAATCTATCACTTCTCTTTTTAGGCCTCAAACCTGTACCAAATAATCGTAACATATTTATGATAACCCATCTCTATGGTTGTCGTAATTGCATAAAAGAACCGTTCAAAAATAAGCAAATTTGGCAATGTAAGCGCTGTCAAAATTTCGGACGTACTAATTCATGTACACAGGCCTATCTCAACACGTAAACAGTAACGAACATAATATGAATTTAAAAAAAGTAAAATGTATTTTAAAAGGAAGAATGAGCCAAGATGAAATTTTCAAAAAATATACATAAATCTATATAATGAAAATGTAAATTTACAAAAAATCCCATAGACTCTCATTCACTCTATCTATCTACCTATATATCCATATCTCCAAAGATATAATAATTCAATATTTAAATCCTTCTTGTAACCTTTTTCCAAACTTAGGAAAAATATTAATTTTCAACTCCTACCAATCAAGTTTATTGAGCTAAATGAAACCGATACTTTTCTTTGCTTGAAGAAGTTTGGCTTTAACTGGGTTTCTGTACTTCTTAAGTTAACAATTTTCAACTTTTCAACGACTTTTGTTTATCTTTAGAATTGATCAGTTTGTTTTATCGGTTCCTTCAAAAATTTCTTTTAGTAAGTATCACCCATTCCTTGAAACGAGAACTGACTTACACAACCGAGGAAACAGCATTTGTAACATCTTATAAATTCACTAATTTCGTGGTCCGCTTGAACAATTAATTAAGGTTTATAGTTGAGATAAAAAAGTCAATGGCACGAGCGGGATTCGAACCCACGATCTTCGGCTAGATACGCCGCTGCTCTACCACTTGAGCTAAGATAGACCTCGATCCACTCGGACACTAACTTCCCATCTCAACACCACCTTTTGGATTTTCCCTCCTTTTTGCCATTCTTACACTTTTTTGCCGCTTACACGACATTTGAAAAATGGCAAAAAGGAGGGAAAATCCAAAAGGTGGGGTTGAGATGGGAAGTATTTTTATAGTAATATTAAGTACTTATTATTCTAATATTTATTTGTGTTAAATTTCCGCGTTTCGCACGTTCAAATTGAGCGCCATTAAAAAAATCAGCTGATAATTGGAACGTCGCGTTGGCGGAGGTATCAGCGGTTCACTTTGGCAATTCATGTCGAGAGACGTGGTTGTAGAAGTCCTTCAACCTGATGATGAGCTAAAAGGCTCGAAATCCGGATCGTTGCAAAACAACTTACTGTGAGTAGGAACTATCCTTTTGGAAAGTATTAAACACCGCACTCACCCCATCATTTATCATTTCTATAAAGGAATTTTGGATAATTAGCAGCAGACAAACTGGCCAAATGAGAATTTGTAGATCAATTAAAGGTTTAAGACCTCTATTCGGGATAATAAGATCAGAATTAGGATCCTTTTTTTCAAAAAACTTCCACATCAAACTAAAAGGAGAAACGGACTAACTTCAGAGGTGGCAGAAATAGTAAACTCATGGGTAAAGGACCCTAGCTAAAACTGACACATTGCTCCAGCTAAACTGGGTAAACTGAAGTTTATAATGAAAATGTAAATTTACTCTACACTGGTAATTATCATTTGAGAAAACATCTACACAACTTCAAATTGAAGGTTATGCAACGTGATGGAAGAAACCGCCCCCATACTAATTTCGAATGGGAAGAACTATGGAGATATAACCTAGAGTACTTTTTTTACCAATGATTTCAAGATCGATCAAATATAATTCAAAAAATAAACAAGACAAATAAAATTACAAAACTGATAAGGACGCCGATCTATTCCTTGTATTAATTAAACAAAAGAACTTGTTAATTTTATCTAGAGTTCGAATAATTTCTCAAAACGACATATCATCTTGGGATTAAATCTTTATAGAGAGGCTAAGCTTTAAAGCCCTCGAGATTAACTGTAAAATGCGTAAACTTTGTTTTAATAAAAAAAAAGATCCGCTTAATCATTACTAATAAGCTCTGGGTAACTTATCACTGTCAGTATCTGGTTCACGTCATTATCTCTAATGACAATAATGAGTATTCTTTTGTTTTTGTTACGTCTTTCTTAAGTAAAAAACAAAAACGAAACCGTTATTTATGACTGAAAGCCGTTCATAATTGATCATAATTGATCCGATGGCCATTAATGATAATTAGTACTTTAAATTTAAGCAATAAAGCAGCTACTGATAATAGTCCGAAAATAATATTTACAATAAGATCCCTAATGGATGTTATAAATGGCTACGTTTCCACTGCAATTATATGAACTAAAGGACTGGGGTTAAGGAAAACGAAAAAGCCGATCATCTAGCAAACGAGGATGTCAGGAAAGATTTAAAAATGATGTCTTAACGGCCTCGGATATCTTAGCACAAATCAAAAAATCATGGAATGACATTTACGGAGCACCATTGCGGGAAAAAGGAAATTTCCATAGAAGCCTACAACCAGAGACACTGAAAAACGAAAATTCTATTCTATCATGTCTAACGTTCAATTTACCATTTGCCAACGATGACAGACAGGAACAGTCGAAAGCTCAAACCATAGTTTTTTGCCTCCACTGGAAATGAACGTCGAGATATATGGAAAACTCTGTAGCGCTAACATCCAATTTCCAGGGTAGTTTCTAATACACCCTAATTATGGAAACATTCGTAGATATACACAAATAGATTTATTCTAAATATGTTAAAGTATGTATATTAATGGATGATATGGAAATGAACCTCGCCTGACTAATTTAACAAGTAAAAATGTTTAAAAAAAGTTTGATATAAAATTATTTTAGAAACCAATGTGGCAAAACTATCAAAGATTCTTTACAAACTTTTTATCTCAACCAAAACCTCAGAAAGAATAATTAATTGATTAAAAGATGTAACTTAGTCAATTGACTATGAAAACGTAAATGGATTAATATTTAAAAAGTAAAAGAACTTCACGCATCAGCTCCCCGTGGCCGCAAAAGTCGCTGAGAATCCAATCCTGATTACACGACATTCCAAAATGGCAGAAAAGAGGGGAAATTTGAATGGTTGTAGGTTGAGATGGGGAGTTGGTGTCCGAGTGGATCGAAGTCACGATAGCTCAAGTGGTACCAGCGTATTTAGCGGAAGGTCGTGGGTTCAAATCCCGCACGTGACACTGACTTTTTTATCTCAACCAAAACCTTAGAAAGAATAATTAATTGATTGAAAGGAATTCATTACAAATTTTACTGTTTAAGTGGATAAATTTTCATTTTCATTCAAACTGAAATTTTCATGAAAAGCGTTCTGAAAAACTCTGATAGAAAAAAAGTAAAACATAATTTTATTACTTCTCTAAAGTCAATAGTTAAAAGTATTTTTTCTGTTTGTCCTACTATCTTCACTTCTTTGTATTTTCGCAGGCCTTATCAAAATATTTTCAAAAATTTAAATATTAACCACATCGAAAAATAAACGGTTTAAATAAAAAATGTTTAATGGATCTTTTTACCAAAATTGTGAAATTTTGTCTTTAATAAATCTTGCTACAAAGTTATTAATCATTATGAAAGGCTGAAAATGTCAGCAGTCAAATGTGTTATTTGAACAGCTTATGGCCTATAGAATATCAAGGGAAATAAAATGAGAAACTGTCAGAAACGTCGTAGAACAAAGGGATTTGCGGTTATTCGAGATTATCACTTCACCAAGGCGACGGTCAACGGCTCCCCTCAGTCCTTTTCTCGCCCTCGTCTTTTATTGCCAGGGGAGGGCCTGCGTGCCCGGTTAGGATTACAGACAAGATCTTACCACTTTGTGACTCAAATAAATGTTCTCAACCGGCACAGTATGATATCCCTTCGGCATAACTTGGAACGGGACCTTAGCACGTTCGGTCCTTCAACCACGTAGACACTTTAGTTTTGTTCTATCTTTTGAGACGTTTTGAAAATAAGTACATGCGGTCTTAATATTTGGCGCTGGTGATTTTTTATCAAAAGATGACATCCTTGCGGAATGTGTGTATGTACGTAATCGAGGATATATTCAACGCACGTACAGCTTTATCTAAAAAGACTCTACAGTGGTAGGAAAGATATCAGAATAAAATTTGGTTCAAAAATTAAATCATTTATCAGTACTTTATATAAAATGTATATCAAAGAAAATACATTAACTATTAAACATTAAAGAAAATGTACGAGTGTTTATTAAACATTAAGATAGTGGCCATTGCTTAAAAATCACATATTGCATATGGTGCGAGCCAATATAGTGCGGTAGAAACACGAATCTTTTCATTTCTGCAACGTAGTCTACTGAAAAGCAGTCTGCTGTTTTCTGTTGTTTCTTCTTGGAGCTATGTCCGGCTGTTGGAAAAGGAGAGCGGTAACTGCCCTCCCTATGAGCTCATTCAGGACACAATTCTATAAGAATGTACCAGGCGGACCCAGCCGGTCGGGGACCCTGGATGAAAAGGAAGGACTCCTGAAATAAGAAAAAAAATTTAGTGACTAGTACTTAAAAACGCATTGTATTCCTTGTTGTCTTACCGTGAGAACCGGAGTCCTTCCAGTAATCTATTCTAAACCGAGGCTAAGTCCGGGCGCTGGAAAAGGAGGGCGGTAACTGCCCTCCCTATGAGCTCATTCAGGACACAATTCTATAAGAACGTACCAGGTGGACCCAGCCGGTCGGGGACCCGGGATGAAAAGGAAGGACTCCTAAAATATGAAAAAAATAAGGGACTAGTACTTAAAAACGAATTGTATTCCTTGTTGTCTTACCGTGTGAAACGGAGTCCTTCCAGTAATTCATTCCTAACCCGAGGCTAAGTCCGGCTGCTGGAAAAGGAGGCGGTAATTGCCCTCCCTATGAGCTCATTCAGGACACAAGTCACAAGAAGGGATCAGGCGGACCCAGCCGGACGGGAACTCTGGATAAGTTGGAAGAACTCCTATAAGAAGAAAAAAAATTAAGCGACACGTACTTTAAAAGGCATTCGATTCCTCGGTTTCTTACCGTGTGAACCGGAGTCCTTCCAAGCCTTTTCCTGGCACTATGTCCAGCGGTTGGACAGGGAGGGCGGTAACTGCCCTCCCTATGAGCTCATTCAGGACACAATTCTGTAAAAAAAGGACCAGGCAGACCCTAGCCGGACGGGCACCCTGAATAAGTAGGAAGGACTCCTATAAGAAAAAGCATTAAGCGACAAGTACTTAAAAAGGCATTCGATTCCTTGGTTTCTTACCGTGTGAACCTGAGTCCTTCCAGTAATCCATGCCTTTGTCCAGCCGTTGGAAAAGGGCGACTGTAACTGCCCTTCCTATGAATCCATTTCATTTCACGGTGCTACCGTTCCGGTTGAAATACATACAACTCGACTGCGTAAGTCTTTAATTGTTTATGAAGATTTAAAAAATTTGAAGACTTAATATCACCTTGGTTACAGGCATTTTGTTTCTTTTTTCGTTTGTTTTCGTTTATTTGTTGTTTTTAACGCGGCTGCCAACTAAATTACCATTATATATCTGGCTTTTTTTCTTCTATTAAATAAGAAAATTTTTCTTTTCAAAACACGAATTAACATTTTACAGATATTTCATTTTTTATTATATATACAAAAAAATTATAACATATGATTTAAAAAAGTGGTCAGCTGTATTAAGTTTGAACAATCAAAGTATTTACCTCTTTTATATAATGGAATAAATAAATCAGTTATAGGTTTATAAAATTCAAACAATTAAGAAATATTAATCCATTTATGTTTTAGTGTCAATTGACCAAGTTACTTCTTTCCATTAATTATTCTTTTTATCTCAAACAATACCTTACATAAAAAGAATAATTAATTAAGAAATACCTTGGCTAAGAGGCGAGGACATATATTAAAGTAAAAATCTTATGAATAGCTGTCAAATAGCCTTCAAATGAAAATTAATGTTTTATGAAGATACTGAATTTACTACACTACTATCCTTAAATATATACAATCTATAAGTATTTACATATGTTTTTAGCATTCTAAAGCTGATTGTTACATGAAACATGTCGTTTGAACTTTTTTTTAATACAAATCTTAAAAGCGTGCCATTGTTAAATTCTCTCTGGTCTTTTCTGGTACATATTTTAGTTTCTTGCTATTGGAATATTTATGACTAATATATCACAATTTTCTTTTTTATTCGCTACCATTAAATTTTGAGTCTTAATTTGTTTTTAGGTATTAGTTATTGATGCATCTTGGGATTGAGATTAATTCGTTGGGTCGAGATTAGTTTCGTTGACTATCCAAATCTTGTTTTATAAAATATTTATATTGTTTTTCGCATCTGTAAAAAAATTACATCAGTAAAATTGCTATAAAGCAAAATGATTAACATGAAAAACGTGAAGAAAACTCATCCAGTAGTTGGCTTCCTCTAGAGTAAATAAATAATGACTACTAGGACTTCACTTTTAATATTTTCTTCGTTATTACTTAAGGATATCACGTGGCCATCGGCGTTCAGTCAGGGAGGATTATCTGACATGGTAGCGGAGCTGAGCTGGAATTTTTGTTAACAGGCTTTCGCTACATTTAAAAGAAAAGGAATATTAAAGTCTCGTTTGACTTGAGGATGAGGTTTGACACATAAAAGGAAGGTTAACATTTGTCTTAGGATTTTTGATTGAAATCTTAGGATGTGTTGGAAGTTGGTGTGGTTGTTGACCCACAAAATTCGACACCATAAGTTCACATAGGTTTGAGAACCACAGTTTATATCAATCTTTTGTAGTGAAGTGGAAGTTTGGAAGTTGTACCGAGTAGTGGTGATAACAGTTTGTGTCTGTCTCGTGTAAGTCATCTGAATAAAGTCAATATATTGGCTCTTAGTTGAATTTATTTTATTTCTCTACTTTTTGAACTAAATGTCGAGGCACTTCAAATAGTTTTGACGGTTTCGGTATTCGGTGACTTGATCTTTATGGGGGAAAGTATTACTGTATCGTCAGCAAAAGAGGAGAGAATTTTTTGTGGAAGGATAGGAATATCAGCAATACATATAATGTAAAAGAGAGATCCAAGTATGCTTCCTTGTAGGATGCCAGCTTTGTGTAATAGAGGGTATCGCTGATATTAATAATAAGTAGATAATTTATAAATTATAAATTAAAAAATAATTGTCTTTACCAACTTTCTTTCATCAAACTAAAAAGAGTTTGTTTAAAGGCAGAGGATCGTAACACTAAAAATACAAAACAGTTATCGAAATTAGGGTTAACAAAGTAAAACAACATCGGAAGAAAATAAAAGAGAGACATGATTTTATCTGAGCTCGTTCCAGAAAAGTTTAGTGTTTTTTTTAACCTTCCGACAATTATGGTGTATATGAGACGTCAATGTAGCGACACACGGGTCTGGTTAAGAGAAAAAAAATTGGTTTGTTAACAAAAACCGATGGCACCGTTCCCGGCAAAACAAAAGCGTTCAGAGTAATGGAAAGCTTCGTGATTCCACTACATCATTGGAAAAACATTTCTAAACTTGAAAAAATTGACCAGCCAGAATTAAACATCTAATAAATTTCTCGCCTCCACGTTGGATTTATTTTGTGTAAAATTCGGTGATAAATTCCCCGCGATCGCTTTAAAATTGTCGGGTTAACCTTTTCTAAAGCAAAACTATAATTTATCATGGATTGATCCCCATGGTTTAATTTACATATTTGACCTCGTTTTACGGAACGACATGTAATCCATTTGTTCAATTTACGATAATTGGAATTAATTCTCCTTACAGGCTAAACTGTTGCCATATGTGGTCATGAATGTGGTTTTACTCATTAATTTATTTTTTATTTAGCTATTGAGGTCAAATAAAATAATTTTATTTTACTCTAGTTTAATAAAAAAATATATATTTTTTTTAATTCGCACACACGATATAGAAAAATCTCCATAGTTCCAGTTACTAAAACCTTTTGTTGGTCATTTTATAATTCAAACTGTGATGCATTTTTTAACACTTAATGTTTTAAAATAACAATAAGAGATAGATAATTATAAAATAATTTTTAATAAGCCAATCAGTACTCTTTCAAATATTCGTATTTGAATATGCTAAACCCGCAATACTTTACGGTCTAGCGGAAACGTTGGCCTCTAGCGCCGTGTTTTCAAATTAATTGCTTTAAATAAATTTTAAACATTTTAAACCAACACAGTAAATAATTAAATTGATTTTAAAAGCAACTGAAATAATAAAACACTATAGTCCATTTTTTAATTTAAAAAAATAATATAGGTATGTTTTTTCCATTATTCGGTACCACAAAAAAAGAAACTTTTTCATTTTAAAGGTATCCAAAAGCTTCGTGTTCTAATACCATAAAAAAATTAGCTCAACGTACAACAATAAAAAATAGAAAGTCAGTACACCACCTAAAACATCTTTTTTTGCAGAAATGAAGCTGAGACAATTGAAAAATCTTCGTTCATCTTTAAAAAAAACGATATATCTAATATTCAAATACTTATATATATGAAATTTAATTACCCCCCATTTCATTCACTTTCAGTGAAGCTCTTTGGCAATTTTCATTTAGTTTCTACCATTTTTTATTTTTTATTATATTTTGGATATCATATTATTGACCTCCTATCTAAAGTTACCCCCCTTTTGTCACTACACCGTACATTTTACCCTCCCTGCCAACGTTATTTGATTGGGAAACCAAACTTGGCGGAATACAGAAGAAAACGGCCGACGTTTAAGTAAATAAAATTTGTTAGAATTATACCGTCCACTAAGTTAAGAACCACTTTTTTAATTTAATTTTTTTAACTCAGTCCTAATAAATAAGAAAACCTTGTTTTTTTTTAATAAAATTAATTTACAAATATGTCCAAATAAAATAAGTTGAAACCGTGGACGTAAGTTCCTCTCTCTCTCTCTCTCTCTCTCTCTCTCTCTCTCTCNCTCTCTCTCTCTCTCTCACTCTCACTCACTCACTCTCTCGCTCTTTCTCTTTCTCTCTCTCTCTCTTATTTTTTATATATTTTTTTAAAATAATATACGTTTTCGAGACCTTTTCCTATCCCATCCTTCGAATGTTCTTCATGCCCTCATGTCGAGTTCCATTCCAAACTCAACTCAAAAGTTGCAATATTTTGAAGAAAAAAAATGCTAAGAATGAGACAAGAAAAAAATTTAAAACATCCCTTCAATCGAGGTTTTTGTACATTTGAACAAAACGATAAAAGATGTTGAAGAAGATACCCTTTTTTTAGTCGTAAGTAATGAAACTGACAGGTTGTTTATTGTACGTCACTATACACAATACAACATGTACGTAAGAACAGCGAATAGAGAACGATTTAAGATTGCATGGATATAGAAAGTAGAAGTTTGAAAGAAAAAAGTGACTGTTGGCAAGTGGTGAAAGCGAGTGGGTTCGACAACTTTAGAAAAGGGACCATCGTAAGAAAAGCCGAGGTAAAAAACCTCCTAAACCAAAAGGTTAAAGAAATAGAATAAAAAAAAGAAAAAAGTACCTATATACAACGTTCAGATTATCGGCATCCCACAGTCATTTATATTGTTTACAGAAACTGTCTGTAAATCTCGTTAATGGATGGAAATGTAAATCCGTTTCAGGCTGTAATACTCTTGAGAAAATTAAGGATGATCCGGACTTAAACGAGGTTTGAATAAAGGATTCTTTGATACTACTGTTCAGATGCGATCATGGGATTCAAATGAACGTACATTGAAAGATTTCGCTGTGTAATTCCAGGGTGATGAACGTGCAATTTGATCCGTATGTATATTAATTAGTAATTATACTTTTTATTTACTTTACAGACTGAATATAGTAGAATATAATTTATTAGGTTATCTGTAACCTGTATCTGGAAGCGAAAACGAAAAGACATGACATGTATATTCTTGTTTATATTAATGAATGGATGGAAATTCTTGACTATAAATCACTTCTTTAGGACAAAATGGTCAATTAAATTAAATATTGTTTGAAACAGACCGAATGAACTTTTATATTTAAAAAACGATATGTTGTGTTTACAATTTATATATTTGTCATCTTAAAACTATTTGATATTTTTTAAATTTACAAGGTTGCCTATAAGATTATTTTATGTTTATAGTGATTACTGGTACAAACGCTACTTTATTTGGTTGTTGTTTTTACAAAAACAAATTTAATTATATTTTTAATTCTACATGAAAACTTTGTTTATTAAGGATTTACATATCATAAAAAAACAGTATTTGTTAGACGACTACAATAGTTCTACTCACAAATTGTTTTTCTCACTTATTTTGATTTGAGAGGTCGAAACTCGAGCTTACTCTTTGTTTTTGTTTCCAGGTTGTTGTTACAGATAACCTAATAAATTATCATCAGATTGAATAAAAACCTGCAAGTATGTTTTTCAACTTAAATTGTAAAACAGTAATTTCCTTTGTTAATAGAAAGCTTTTCGTCGTGTAGCTCTGTTATTTTAATAGATATAACCTAGTAAGGAACACTAATGATTAAGAACATGATTTTACCTCGTAAGTTCAAACTAGATGGCTATGTACCTGAGGCTACCCTGAATATTA